CTTCGAAGAAAAAGTAGCTGTTATAAAAAGCAGAATAAGGTGCAAACGAAATCACCGTATTTCCAACTTTTATGGATGCGCAAGGTATTAGGTTGTCCGGAAATCAATGCCCGTTTTAAATTTGAACCGCAATTAGTCATACACTTCTCACTTCTAAATAGGTTGCAAAGTACCATTCGATAGAGCAAAGCAAGCTCCGTCCATTTTGCTTTTGCGACAGCTCTCATCCCCCTCGAGTTTTGAGCCGAAAACTAAAAAGACTCAGCAGCCCGAAAAATCGAAAAAATCGTAACTCCGTTCACAAAAATCCTACAAAAATTCTTACTTGCTCACAAATACCGATTATAGCTTTCCCTAGTTAGGTGGTCCGAAATAAAATTCAAATTTCTCGAGAACTAATGCTTGTAGAGGGCTGAGAATTTATGTTTATACTTCTACAAGTTTGTAGTATACAACTATCTATGTGGGGAAGGCACAACACCACTTTGCCAAATGCACGAAAATTTCCGTTTTCTTGATTTCTAACAGAGGAAAAAATACGGCAAAGGCTTACATAGATGTTTTATGTGAATAGTGTTTACAAGTAAGAATTGTGAGCAAGTAAGCAAGTAAGAATTTTTGTAGGATTTTTGTAAACTGAGTTACGATTTTTTTCGATTTTTCGGGCTGCTGAGTCTTTTTAGTTTTTGGCTCAAAACTCGAGGGGATGGGAGCTGTCGCAAAAGCAAGATGGCCTTCTTGTAGAGCTTGCTTTGCTCTATCGAATGGTACTTTACAACCTATTTAGAAATGAGAAATGTATGACTTATTGCGGTTCAAATTCAAAACGGGCATTAATTTCCGGACAACCTAATAGTAGCCGAAATTTCAAAATCAACGCATCTTCATGCGATAATCGCTCATTTACTTTGTAAAAATAGTGAGATAATCAAGTTTTGAAACTTGACGATTTTGCAGTGTTTGGTGCAATTTGTTATGCAATTTTTTTTGAAAATCAAGGCCATTGTAAAATAATTTAGCAAAATTCTATGAAAGAAACTCGAAGAATAAAAGAATTTGCATTAATTTGCAAAAGGTTTGCCCTTTCTGCTCGTTATCAAGGTACCCTTTCAAGTAAAAAAAGTCTGAAAATTAGCGAAAGTTAGGCGTGGTAAAAATGTGGGTTGTAAGTTTCGGCAGTTATCTCAGCCCTGTCAAAACAGTCCCATCGAAAACATAGCTGCTGGAAATAGGAAGAAATTCTGCATTGGATACTGCTCAAAGTACTTACATATTTATCTTCATTGTAAGAATTCACTGCCGAGACAAAGAACGGAAAAAACTCTTGCACCGGACTAATAAGATCAGTTGGTATTTGAAGTTTTCAAATCTAAGGGCCTTTCTCCCTGTTTAATGTTTCGTGTAATCTTCTAGTCACACCTTCAGTTATTATTATCATTGGTTTTTATTGAGCGATTTAACCTTTTTCTGCAGAGCTCGGCACAGGTGACTTGTAAGCCAGGTGGATATCGCTTTTGGGACAAAAAGCAAAGAGGGAAAAATTCTGGATTTTTTTATTTTCGGAAGTAGTTTCGTTTTTTGAGGGTTTTTCTTATGATTAGGGTTCAAAGTCAAAGAGAACTTCGTAAAATTTCGCAAAAGTAAGTTGGACTTCGTTTTTTGCATTTTCCGAAAGCCACCTCGTGCCAAGCCGCGTTTTTCTCTTCGATTCTCCTAAGTTTTCCTCTATGGATGAAAGTTTTCATCTCCGTTTTTATTTATAGAACCAACTTCAAATTCGTTGCACCTCGGCGATAAACGAGCTTGACGAAAACAATGAACTTTGGGTTCCAATCCGTAAGCGGAGGCGGCAGCAATATTTTCTCGCTACGTCACTTGTACTCAAAACTCGTGTACACTGCTATTTTCGCACCACAGCCACGAAATCTACCAGAGTCGAAGATCACTCCAATGTTTCATTAACTTGCCAATTATCTGCTAGTCCTCTTCATCGCATTTGTTCGGTGTCAAGGATATTATTGCGGATGAGGAAGCGGAAAGTTATTGTGGAGTAAAGGGAAGAAAGCTACCTCGACTTTCAGGATTAACTTAACTCCATAAATATTTGCACTAAAAAATTCTAGTAATTTTCCCTTTTGCTCTAAAAGAAGTCTAACTAAACATGCAGAAAAAATGCACTTCTCATAGGGGAAAGATACCAACATAAGTTGGCGATTAAAGACGAGATGTACATCACTAGACGCGCCTTCAAAAGCTGATTCCAAATCATTCCTTTTCTTGCGAAACAACTTTCCAAAAGAAGTTATGAGCGTTGAAAGTTCACATTTGTCAAGCGTGAACTAAAATTAGCGAAAAGCTGTACAAAAATATCTGAAAGTGGGTAATCGATGTTCATCGAATATATTGTCTGCAAAAAAGGAATGAAGCCAGTAATTCTCATAGGTGTTGTTTTAGAGCTTTTCGCTGATTTTAAGCTACGTGATGCTTGACAAATTTGAACATTCAAACGCTCATACATTCTTTTGGAGAGTTGTTCTGCAAAAATGGAAAGCAGAATTGGAAGCAACGTTTAGATGCGCTTCTGGTGACATACATCTGTCTTCAATTGCCAACTTATGTTGGTATACTTCCCTTGTAAGTATTCCTTGAGCCAAATATAATTTTAACATATTAGGGAGGTATAAACTTAAGAGGGAAAATGATCACGTATTATTTTGTCGAATTTTGGTCGCCAAACTAAAAGGCTTTGCAAACTTCAATCTGAGTTGTGATTGTGTTCTCACAACTTACTCTTTTTTAGAAAGGGAGACACAATTTTCTAGTTTTTCTACTTCTTACGTTCCGAACAAGTCTCTAACATGCACAGTAAATTAGAACATTTGCATCCAAAAAATATTTCATGACTAGGGTTTTTCGAACTTTTCAGTGAGTTTTTCGGACTTTTCTGTGCAAGAGACCGAATGATTACCTTTGTAAACTGACAATGTCTAGAAAGTGCAGCGATCCCCATAAAAATGACACTGCATAAATGGTGAGATTTTGATAGTTGAGCAAAGTACAAGTGGAGTTTCATAGAGAAGAATCGCGTCCAGTGCTGTAGGTTAGGGTAGTTCAGAGGTGAACAAGAAAACTTTCAACGCTATTCATGAATAGCAGCAACTTAGTTTGAACTTTTCTTTAGTCAACACTTTCAAAAGTAATGATTGCTCCCTCAACACCTATTTATATCGACACACACTCCACTGCTTTTTGCTCCTTTTATTTCAAGCTGCTAGCTCCTAGAGCACCCTGCTTGGTTTGACTAAACTTCGAAATGGAACTGGCTTTGGACTTCAAGATTTGTCAGATAAGTTACAACGATACCCTGAACATGAATTTGTTGTTTAACAATGCTCTCCTCTATTATTCCGTGCATGTGTATCTAGTTTAAAAAAAGCAATCCTTTGAAACAGCTCTGGTCTATATTTTCAAAGAATGAGAGCAGTTTTCCAGTTCTGAAGACGATGAGATTTTCTTTAACCGATTTCTTTGATTTCCATAGTTTGTATGAGTGCTAATCTAATGGACGAATGGAGAAATAAGAGCGAAATAGCTATAATTCTAGATGCAAAGAGTCCGAAGAGACGTACCTGCCTTGCTCTAGAGGGAAATGTTTTTGTTTATGAAAAGATCTAATTTTGGCTCAAGCTCTGAACTTGGTCAATTCTCCGACATTTTTTGGATATGCTGTTGCTGTAACAGCTGAAGCGAGACTTGTGAAATTTCAAATATCAAAAACAAGTACTTACGCCTACATCATAAGTGTTTACTCCCAAATATACCTCAGTTGCACAAATGCCTTTTTGCGTAGTCTAAGCCCATAATAGAATTTTCTGCAGATTTCTTCCATGAATAAGGCTCGAAAAAATGAAGCATTAGCCGATCAAAATTTCACAAATTTCTTTTCGTTCTTTATACTCTTTTTCTATACAGTCTTAAATCATGCCCTTCCAAAGCGTCGCTCATGAAACCCAAGACTGTTGTTGTTGAAGGATATCTTGCCTACTACTATAGCTAAGCACTTACGTAATTAGGACAAAGGCCTCAGTGACCAGAGATTCGTTTTTGAAGGGATTTCACTTTTTCTAATCAATCATTTTTAGAAATTGCATGAGGTCAAATCTTGTTTCTCTTTCTTTTATAACTTTTCAACTAGGTCTCGTTAGATTATACTGTTTTTTCGTGCGACATCATTAGTGTATCCACTCTTTGGAGTCCATAACTCACTGGAAGAATTCACTCAAAGCGTTGCACCTCTTTGCAGAAGCTAGTAAAACATAGTACCGATCTGCATGTAAGTGTACATTTTTATTTTACATTAGAAAAGAATTTTTGCTGGACCGTTTATCATTTTCCGATGTTGGTGTGGTGTTTGTCTTACTAGCTGCGTCTGCCATGACTGTCGATTCTCTTAAATTTTTTCCTATTACCTGCTTTGCAACACGAACTTTGATCTTTGATCTCGTACTAGTAATTTCCATCAAATCGGATAAAATTCGGAAGTTGAGCGAGTGCCAAGAGTCACTGTCACTGGTTCCTCATGTACTTCATAAAACGCTGTTTTCCGGCATAAAAAACATCCAAATTTTAAATTTCTAAAAAAGCCAATATAAGCCTTATTGTAGTTGGCACGAACTAAATGATTTTTCTGTATGGAGAAGACTTAAATCTACATATGCCGTCCCATTACTGACATAATGAAACCTCATCTAATATCATCACGGTACCTTGCATGAAAGATGTAAACCGTTGAGAATGAATAAAAGATAAAGACAAAAATGAAACAGTTAAGTACAGTCTAAACCGAAGATCCGAGAAGACAAGAGTCTCTGAATTTAAGTCTTCATAGGATTTTCACAGCTTGGCTGATTCTCTTTGCATTGGCTCACGATAAATTTGCGTTTTTCTCGTTGTATGTTCTAGCGTTTCGTCAACTTTCCATATTTGAGATAAAAAATTGCAGGTAATAAAGGTCTCGAATGACTGACAATTCTAAGATGTCAAGATGTTTGCTTATACAGGTGAGAAAATGTTTTAAAATCTAAAAATACTTGCTCTTGATTTCATCTCAAATTTTTAGCTTGCTGTTATGGCCGTGTGCACTGCATATCCGCAACTCTTCGATACGGAGTATGATGAATCGTACGTTAACCTTTTCCTTTCCATCTTTCTCCATGAGTATACGGTCTTGTAAGTGTTCAAAACCTCAAACTTTTGATTTTTGATCACTTTGAAAATTATGGAATAGTGAGGATACCGAGTCGTTGAATAAGTTCACTTAGCGGAAAGTTCTTTGAAAGAGTTTTCCTCGTGTTCAGATCATCGGAAAGGTTGTAGCTTTCCGATTACACATGTCACATAAGAAACATCCAATTTGTGCAACTTTTGAACTACTAAGTTACTTTTGGCAAATTTTATCAAATTATTTTTGGCAAATTTCCAATTTGCATTGAATTTTCATTGAAATGCTGGAGCTTCTAAACTGTTCTCACATTAGTACTTATGCTCCTGGGAATAAATGCAGATTCTAAAAAAAGATTTTAAAAAAGGATCAGCGTGTTTCTGAGAAATCTGGAAGAGACGGGGATTGAAGTGCCTTTACAAAATTGCCTTACTGAATCATGTCATGGAGATGAAGATGATGAAACTAGATAGCACTTTTACCCTTTCTCATTGCTTAGTATGAAACTTCGGAGCTTTCAGAGGTAGTTAGCCGCGAAGCCTCTGCACGAAGAGATAACATCAGATTTTGCAATACCGTTGATGTAGGAAATCTCATGAAGCATTGAAATGATTGAAGACATAATTCCGCGAGAACTTCACGTCTACATTTTTCCAATAACTATTTCAGAGCTCTGACGAGACAACTAGCGAAACGAGCCTTTGATCGGCTCGATGGAAACGAATTCGGGCTCTTCAAGAGATCCGTCAACAAGCGTGCATTTGATAGGTTAGATCGTTAATCGCTGTTTTAAACTGGTAACTGGACTTTTGCATTTGTTTAGATTAGATATGGCTGACTTCGGATTCCGAAGAAAGCGCGGTTTTGACAGAATAGCCAGGGCGGAGTTTGGTCTCACGGGACTTCGTCGCAAGCGGTCGTTCGACCGATTATTTCCCGATGAGTACGGTCTCAGGGAAAAGCGAGCGCTTGATCGTCTCGATTCATCCGAATTCGGATTGATTAAGCGATCTGTCGACTCTTACCCAGATCGAGGTAAGCAATTGCAATGAATGGATCTCCAGTTTTTGTGTTTTCAATCGCTTGCAACTACTGAAGTAATGCTGTTCAAAAATACAAAAAAAAATCGTTTAAAAAATGTCATCAGTTATCAAGGTTTATTGTTATCAGTTCATAAGATACGCCCCTTGTCATGTATGGTTTATGTGAATTTTGTAATACTTTACAGTACGTATCAAAGAATTGATCTAAAGCTAAATCAAAAAGTTGATCCAAAATTTCAAACATAATACTCCTAGATTTTGACATAACGAAGTTCTCTTGATCTGAATGAGTAGGTTTAAAAAAAGGCGGAATATAATTTTGCAACTCAAAATGGACAACTCAGCAGCTCTTCCAACCGAAATTCGAAAAAGTGTCATCGCCTCCCAGAAACTCATGTCAAGGAATGTTGCGGACTTTCCCTGATTATAAGGATAGACCTCCACATTACAGTACTTTATCTTTATAATCAGGAAAAGTCCGCGACGCGCCTCCACTCGAATCTGGAACCGTTTTGTGTTTACCAGCTTGTACTCCTACATGAGTTTTCGCTTTGCATCCATGAATGCTTGTGTTTTCTTCCTTTGAAACAAAAATGAACAAAATCGATCAAGATGAAAATTGTTTTAAGTTCGCAAAAATTTGGTGCAAGACTTATGTAACCTTTGATTCAACTGGCTTGGCGGCTGGAAGGCGGGGCTTTGTGACCTAATTAAAGCGGCGCGCGCTTACGATGCATTCCGCGTCTCTCACGCGCGCGTGCTCTCTGATCATTATCTAACCCTAATTGGGTCACGAAACCCCGCCTTCCAGCCGCCAAGCCAGTTGAATCAAAGGGTATCAGCCTGATGCTGAGATAGTGGTCAGCCTCGTCATAGAATTGTAAAGTTTAAGAACAATGAGTGACTCATTTTTGCATTCAAAGTCTGTTAGAAAATGTTGTTTCCAGTCTCTGAAGTCGTTCAAGATTAACTTCAAATTAGGAATTGGCTTTTGTATCTATGAAATCCCTTCAGTGAAAGAAAGCTTCCTGGCAAATTTGAGATTACTGAAATCCAATTTTCTGATTAAGCTATTGCCGAAGTCTGTATTGATATCGCCACAGAAAGAGTTGTTCTTGGCTCGCATAGGCCGTTGCTGCTCAACATAAGAATACCGGCGTCAACTGGAGTGTCGTTGTAAAAAAATCTTATTTCAGCCCAAATAGAGAGTCTCCAAATATACGTGAACATCGCAGATTAGCAGTGACCGCCCGAGAGTTTTTGTTGTTGTTATTGGGAGGGGGGGGGGGGAGGACTTCAAATCAAGCGACTCAAGCCCATCCTTTCCAATTTTTGGTATGCTTGACAATTTTCAGCGGGCTTTTGGCCTCAAAGTTTTGGATACGCGGTGGCATTCCATAAATAAAAGTTGATCCAATCTCTTACAGAACAACACAATTAACGTGCACCATTTTCTAACGCATGTAAGTAACTTTCGAAATATTTGCGACACATTACGGATACTTTAAAGAAATGATGTTCGGTCTTCAAGGTCTGTAGTTTGAGACTCTGGCCAGTAGTCCAGCTAGAAGTTTGTCACAATCTTGTGTGAAATTTGGACATAAACCACCGAAGCACTGTCTATAAGGCGCACTAGTTTGCAGATTCAATCTACGTTAAGAACTTCGCTGTCTGCTTTCTAGTCCAATGATTTCTCCATCATTTACGACTTCAAACCTTCCGCGTTTTTTCAGAGCGACTTATCGATGATCTAGCAGACTCAATCGTTCTCTTGCGCAACGGTCTGAAATCTCAAGGAGCGACATCAGACGTTTTGGAAGTACCTGTCACTACGGACGAAAGTCAATAAGCTAGGCGTCACGAGAGAGTTTCTGTACGCAAGTCACCTATTGCTCCGGCTACGATCACTCTATTTGCTTGTTAGCACCTTAGATCATCTTCAAGTCGTTGAATCTCAGCTGTTCCACTTGTTCTCACTCGATGATCTCATTTTACAGCGCGTCTCATCATAATGCCCTTGGTTTCTCTTTTTGTGCATACATCTATTTCATCTTGTTTGTTCATTCCCGTTCATATGTGAGAGCTGTTAATGGTCAAATATCTACTACTGTATTCGAATAGAGAACTTTGTATTCGTAGCAATCGTTTCAATCACCCCAGATGTGCACTCCATGATTAGAAAACTGCAGAACGCGTACGGATGAAGTTATATTGTTGTTTGGATTTGAAGCAGTTGTGGAGAGCCGTGCGCTATGAAAACTAGACAACAAAGACGATACTCATGACATTATTTGAAGCCACTTTTACCTCATGTAATGAGTAACTCTGAGCTTGGAATAATTACCCAAAATTTTCGACAAATTCCAACTGGAAAACATTTTCGGGAGTGTGGCTTTCGGGGTCGTAAACCTGCAAAAAGTTTGGAAGCATTCCGAGAATTCTGTCGAGGGCTCACATTCGAATATTCATCCCATAAAAAAATTCTCGGACTGCCTTAGCGCATAGAAATTGTGAAAACGCAATAAGTGTTGAGTCATACAAAAATCCGGACATAGCTTATATGCACAGCATGTATGTCGTATTTTTCAGAACAATCCTATGTCACAAGTGCACAATATCACTCCCGAGCTAAAAAGTGTACATCTTCAGAAGTTGATCATTGCACTCCATAACACAATGCTCCTTGTTCCTTTCCACTCGATCCGAATCCTTTTCATGTCCAGCTCAGAAATCAATAATAGCCAACTACCTTTGTGTAATTGCTACTGCATCTTCTTCTGCTTAGAAAGTGACTAAACCATTCACAAGTCAAATAGGATTTCGTTTTACCTAGTAAAGGCAAAAAGCGATGCTCGGCCCTGGATTACGCTACAGGTCACTAAAGGTAGGAATACGAGAAAGTCGCCAGTAAGCCGACGTATAAAAGGATAAAGGATAAAGAATTCGGCGTCTTCAATACCCTCTGCTGGCCTGCGCCGAACACTTCCAAAACGACTGCTGAATGCATGCAGGCTTTCTCAGATTACTCCGGTTTACCGTCCTTGCAAGTAAGAGAGCTTGGTGGGCCCAAGGGCGGGATCAAACTTTGGTCCGACCTAGTCATAACGGCGCCTTCTGTCACCACGCCACTCGTCCCCATCCGAGGTATAAGAACACTGATCGTTTCAAGACAATCTGTTTTTGCTTCTATGCTTCGTGCGACTCTGCGTCAGCTAATTTGTTCGACCTTGTATGGTGAGCACATATTTTCACAAATTATTGTTTATTCGTTACAAAATGCTCACAATAATTTGTAAATACAAAATTTTATCGCAAAAAGTTGCTTTATTTCTCGTATTTAACGCACTTGCAAGATGAAACGACTGTACACTGGTACACAGGTGAGCCATATATGTCGCCATTCGCCTGAAATGAGGGCTTGAGCAATCACGTTATTTCGTAACCTAATAAGTGCGAAAGCACACATCATTAACGTTGCGCGTAAGATCCTGAATCTCACTGACCATAAAGCACTTGCGAAACGGTCAGCAGCATCCAGTGTTTGGACTCAATCAGGACTTCGTTCACAAGGGGTTTTAGGTATTGAGCTTGCAATTGCACGTATCAGCTTTCGAAATGGTTTAACTGTTGTGAGATGAGATCCCTTCACTATCTACCAGCTATAGAGGACATAAAGTTTACGGGGTTCAATGAAAAGTTGTGATTAGAATTTTCTAGGTTTAACCTGACAAAGAGAAAGGGAGAACTACCCACTCCGCGAGAAATTCGGAAAAAAGGTTACAGTCCATCAGTACACTTTAAAGGCACTCTCCGCAGAATGAGGTTGTTGAGGCTTTCATGCTGTGTGATAGCAGGGTTCCTAATTAAAATCGCCTAAGTTCAGCTGTAAAAATTGAAACCTAGAGCAAGAATAAAAGCAGCGACTCCGCCCAGCAACGTAGATGATCTAAAATTAATAGGTCCGAAAGTGAGCTAATGTAACCATGTATTGTTACTAATCAGTTCCTCATTATCACCATCAGCTCTTCTTTCGTCTACTCTGAAGTTCAGAGTGGGGCTTGTTATCTTCATACTAGCCCTGTGATGGGCGGGTCATGTATCTACCTCCTGGAGCGATTTTTTCGCTTAGTTAATCATCTCTTGCGACAGGACGCGGGCGATTACGTCACAAGCTCCACTCTTATATGACATAAAAATCTCAGCACCTCCTATCTGGGAGGACGCTGCCCTTGAATCATAGAACTTACCGTGACAATACGAGCACGGCATTGCTGGTGCTTTATTATGTGAATCATCATTTGACTAGGATCAAATCCAACTCTTTCGTAAGAATCTAGATGCATGCTGTGACTGAACATCGGGTAACTTGGAGATGTGAAACCGTACTCTAGCATAATCTGGAACAAGAGATTTATCGATAGTCCGAACATGATTTATTCAGTAACCCCTGCTCTTTTCCACATAAAATTGATACGAAGTTTTGTAATAAGATGGCGATCAATGCCAAAATTAATTGCTTGATCTGAAAAAATTTTGATGATAAGAATAAACATATGAAAACTTTTGATTACCTGAGTCTGTCGGGATAAAGACATCATGAACAAATAGTAGGCTCAATTTATTGCTTTCCGCACACCAGACGCTCGACGTAGCACTTACTTTTCTGTCGAAGCACAGCTGTACCCTAAAAAAATCATGATTAATGAAGAAGCACCGCCCACCCTGAGTCAGATTTCTTAAGTTCTTGGTAGCATTCTATAGTAGAGCCACATCTATTAAGAGATGTCCGAGTCGCAAAGCGAAATGTCGCTTTAGGGAGTTACGGTGGTTACACTTTAAAGGCAGTGTCCGGGCAGAAACTCGACTTCTAAAAAATCAACTTATCTGGGGTTATCCGCAACGCTGAATCCGAAAATCCACATCAGAAGGCGCGAAAACGGCGAGAACATGCATTTTCCAAGTCCTCACATTTCGAAATTTGAGGATCCCCGCCAGGCTAAGACGCAGAGGTTGCAAAGAGCGCACGGTTTTTAACTGTGGCGGCATACGTACTCTGCCGTCTGGCAGGAATTCAAACAACTCGGAGGACCTCGCCCCAAGGCGTAAGTTTCCCCAATTTGCAATCGTTTTTCTTGCTTTAGGTCGAACGTTTAATGCTCGCAGTTGCGCGATGTTGTGTCTCAGGGGGGCTACTTTCACATGGCAGAGAAATCTCAGAACCCCCATTTTGCCCGGACACTGCCTTTAACCCATTGACGACGACGCCCAATTTTGCGCGGCCACGCTGTGGGACGACGCGATTCTGCACAACACTTTCAGTGTGGGAAGGTTTCGTGCTTATTTACGAAATGCAACATTGTTTTGTAAACAACTATTAACATTTTCTTGAACGACAGAGCCTATAGGTCCTAAGAATACAAAAGAATTGGAAAATACTCATATGTGGAAGAAATACTAGACCTGCAGATAATACGACTTTGCGAGAGGTGTGGGCCACCGGGGGTCCACATCGTCGTCAATGGGTTAAGTGGATTTGAATCACAAATCTGCTCACTGCTTTGCCTGACGAGGTTTGTGGGCAGGTATGCATATCATGCTTGCTCGCTGCAATAACGCCTTGATTTATGACAATTAATATATTAAATTGCAATACACTAAATACAATGTAAATGCAATATCAAGAACAACAATACAGTAAATTAAACCTACAATAAATTCCTTGCTTTCCAGGCTATTTAAGTTTTTTAAAACCCACGAAATTACCCTACCATGCCCAATGAGTGCGGCATTTGTGATTAGCACGCTAGATAAGCCTCCTATACAAGGTTTCAGGTTGATTTACAACTTGACCGCCTAACACTTACCGTAACTCTGTAAACTCTAAAATCACAAGAAGAGCATGATATTCGTAATCAGTACGCTGAACTACTCAGCCAGACAAAGTTTTGACTAATTTGAAGTTTCAAACCATCTACCGTACGCCCACCGTAATCAGAGAAAATCGCGTTCTCGTGCGAATTACATCTGATGTCCATGTTCACTGCGTCAATTAACGACCGAAAACGAGCTGCCCCTTTACGGTACTCCTACCGTAACACCCGAGAAGGCGATTTTGTGCGCAAGTTGATATTCGTATCATGTTGGATAACACCCTGAACCACCTCTGAGCAAAATCCACGACAAAAATTTTGGGGCCGGATAGTCGAATAACATCAAACAATCTGCGATAGAATCTCGCCGATGTTGAAGGCTGTGTCCCTCAAATTTGGGAGCATCTCAGTTTCAATGGATTAGCAGCACTCTCCCCGTAACAAAATAACCAAAAAAAAAATCCGTGAACATGCGGACATGCCACTCGGTTCAGTCTCGTCCTAGGCTGCGTTCAACTGATCTGGAAGTTCGGGAACAGTTCCAGCACAGCGCTTATTTCGAGCTGTACTGGAACGGTTCCCGAACTATTGCATCAGTATGCCTTAGCGAAGCAGGAAATGTGCCGAGACACCGCTGCACTGTCATCGGCTGCATCGGTGTGTCCTAGCGCGATCCCCTTCTCCGGTGAAACCGAGGTTATTGAGAGGGGGAGGGGGGGGGAGGTAGGTACGTCGGCGTTTCTGGAGCCATTTTCTTGCTCTAAAGTGGATTGTCATCACTTTATTTTGCAACCACAAGCAACCCTGGCTTGCATGAGGAGGTTCCTTCAGTGATACGCGTTGGAATCGAGATGCTCCCAAATCTGTCCGGACACTGCCTTTGGGTAGAATAAGCAAAACAATTGTGCGAGTAAAACGACATGTTTTTTTTCCAGGTAGAGGACTATACGCCGCCGAGATGGGGTGACCCCCGCGGTCGTCTGCAAAAATACGCACCTTTTCACATGCAAGGGGGTTCTTGCACGAAGTCCGCGCGGGCCCTCCTATACTCGGCGACATTCGGTGTCTTCTAACCTGTTTTTTCCTGTTTTTTTACCTCCAATTACAGTTGAGTCCGTAAGGTACAAATAAGGTAAAGAGCGAAAATTATATATCTTACCATAGACATTCTTCATCGAC